GATTATAGAGGCCTCAAAAATCCCATCGACTTACAATAAAAACTACATTTGCGTATTCAGTAGCTCGACTTCGAATTTTTCGTTAAATTCCACCAATAAGAGCTCGAATTTCCATTTTCGTTGGATTCTGCCTGCATAAGGTCGAATTTCCTTAAATTGGCATTCCTAACCTCCGCAACAGAAGTTCATGTTTATCGAATTTATTCATTTGTAGCATATTAAAACAAACATCATCTTATTTAATTTAATATTTATTGATCACTTCCGCCACCATTACAAATTAATTTAAGCTCGCTAGCCAAGAATTAAATGTTTGACCATAAAACAGGTTAAGCAGTTGGGCGGGAGGGGATGGATATGTAGAGGTGCCCTAAAAATCAGTTTTGCCGCTTTTTCAATGTTTACTTAGGCGCGAGTTAGTCACGACACACGCGACTATCTATACCGGCGACCCAACCGTTGATTCCGAGGATGTCCACTATATGCTCCACAGCGTGGTGCTGCAGGGATGATGACTTCCGTGTAGATTAGTTTTAAGTGATAGAAGACTTATGGTGCATCTGCCTCATCCTCTCTCCCTGCCTCCCCTCATCCACCTGAGTCTGGTGTCAAGAATAACGAAGGTGAGACAGGGCGCAGGCGACCGGAGCCGCCATAGCTGTCTCAGATCCCACGGAACGGACGTACCACGAAGGCCACAGGTGGTTGGTAACTGATTCTGCACCTATGCGTGCTACCAACACTCCACTTTCCAATGTTCGGCATTTGTTATAGGAGCGCAACCCCTATAACGTCTGTTGTTCGTGAAGTTTTAATTAGCACCCATGCTTTTGAGGCCTAATTTCTAGGACGGAAATAATGAAAAGAATGTCGGTTAAGTTTAAGCCGTGTCCTGGCATTTTTCGGTCTCACGTTTTCCATTTTGAATTTCTCAGTGCTTCTGGTTCACCATTGAATTTGGACTTTGTCGGGAGGACAATGCAGTCAAGGCTTATGGAGCTGGACTTCTCAGTTCTATCGGTGAACTTCAGGTAAATAAACACGCACATCTTCCTATACACCCCTCCATTTGACACTGTAAATGAGCTGTGGAAGATAGTTGGCAAGTGCGTAAATAAGGTTATACTCCTGTAAGTAACCGAGTGAGAAATGAGTGCTAGGCTTTCTTATTTCATGACGGTTCCTAAGATCACATCAGATGAGCATAAATACTGAAAACAAATAATTAGCAGATTGCGTTTATCACAGTTAAGCTTGTCTATTGTTTTTTTGAAATTTTCAGTATGCACTGAGCGACAAACCACGTTTGCTGCCCTTCGAACCAGAAGTTACGGCGCTCGAACCATATATTATTACAGAATATCAATCCACTTATTTCGTTGCTGAAAGCTTCGAAAAAGCCCGAAAACAGTTCCAGTAAGTTGCTGAGACCTGGAAATCCCAAACACTTTAGTTTGAAGAAATGTATGCACTCTTACGAAGAACCCAAAAAGATCGTGTCGTTAATGTAGGGAAAAGAGTTTGCATATGACCCCTTCCGTAAACTGTTATTTGCAGGATCATGTTCCCTATTTTCGGTGATGAGGGTCAGAGAAAAGGTGTGTTTACTCAGTAAATGCTGATGGTCCCTTTATTGGGTTTGCAGAACGTGTAGCAGTTTTCGTACTTTTCAATCTCAGTCCTTAGAAACAGGTAAACATTTGCTAAATTGCTATTTATGATCAAATATACCGGCACCCGCTTTACTAGCCTAGACCCCTTGTACTTAAAATCCTAATTTTTCGGAGATTGAAAACTCACAGTAATCAGAGGCAAATAAGCCGCAAGAAATATTGCTTTCAACTTAATTTTTGTCTCAGTACATTAAGTGGCGAAAGCACTCCGAGGCCTTTTGGAATTTTGTGCTACATTTTCGTTCTAGACAGATAAATGAAACCCTTCTAATAACCAACTTCCTTGCTAGACAAAAGAGATAGGTGTGCATTTATTAGTGTTTGGGTAAGTCGCCGTTCGACCCCAGGAAATATTACATTAAAGCCATACTGAAACTTTGATCTAATACACCTGCTAACCTACAGAAGCCATAATTTGCGCGTAGGAAGATGGAGAGGCAGATTCACTCATTAGCACCTAGTACTGACTGCCAGACGCATCCCCTGGTAGCGAATAGTGAAAAGCCTTCAGTGGATGTTAGCTGCAAACTAAGCGGGCTCTCCGCTCTGACAAATAAGTAACCGCAGACTAAATGACAGCGCTGCCTGGACACGGAGGGCCTTGTAGCCAACCGGTAGTCTGACATGGCGACTGCGTTCCGCCCTTAAATAAGTGTGCTTGCAGCTAGTTTTTTTAGCCAAAGTGCTATAGAATGCAACCTTAAAGAAAACAATCTCAGGGTCCGTGTGGGACCTCCCCTATATTCAAAAGTTCAGAAGAACCTCATTACGGATGTCGTATTCGGTAGGACTGTCTTAAGAGGTTCTATTTGCCTTTGAATTATAACGATAAACTACATTTACATTTTTAGTAGCTCGACTTTCCTTTTTTCGTTAAATTTCGCAATATAAAGTCGAACATCCATCAATAGGCATCAGTTGCTTGAGCAACAGGAGTCTATGTTGATGGAGTTGATTGCATTTAGCTCCCCAAAACAATTATAATTGGCTTGAATTTAATATTCTTTGAGCACTTTCAACAGAATAAATCATCCATTTAAATTCTTTAAGCAAGAATTAAATGTTTAACCACCAATTCCTTAAAGCAGTTAGACGGGGGGAATCGACATTTGGGCGGCCCTACAAGAAAGTTTTGCTTCCAATTCAAATATTGTGGTCCACGCCACAGCCATCGCAGTAAATGGTGCACTCTACAGTTCTAGACCAGCGATGAGGGATAATAGTCTGTGTGAGTTGGCCTACGCAACTGGGATCGGACACTTAGTACCGGATAATGGAGGATCTGAATGCCCATAAACCCTGGCACTCGAGGTCTGAGAGAGCACAGTCGCGAAAAACGCAACCTCCATGCTTGCTGCCTTTTGCACTTCGATTCTCACAATAACGCTCGCGGAAAATCGAGACCCCAGGGGAGTCAACTTATACCTGATCCCTTACTATCGAAAACCCACGCGACTCCTCTGGTAGACACGGTGTATCGATCTCCCCTTCGCAACACGCGAATCCTACACTATTCGTGCGGAAACCAGGCGACAACCGGATAGTTTACGTACGACTCAAGGGGCACTTTAGCAACGTCTCCATTGTCTCCGCACAGTCAGCGAAATCAGCTGTTGATCAGTACAGTAATTAAAGTTTCTACTTGCGGATGAAATACCTAGCTGGAAAATATGCTCGTTGTGGTCTGTGGATCATTGCCGATGTTTTGGCTGATCACACTGGGCCAAGCGACTCAGTATACCACTTACTGACCACTTTGGCTTTGGTTCTCCATTCGATAACAGTGAGGGCAAATTGAGGTTTGCTGACCAGAACCAACGCTTCGAACGCGTGATTGCAGTGTCACCGCAGTTTGTTCTCTTGCTATTCGAACGACGTCATACGTCGGCTCAAAGTGCTGTAACTGGATTTATGACGGCAGATCGAGGCATGGTGTCAAAATTGACCACGTACATGACAGAACATGCTTTTGTTTGCATACGTGGATATTTCATTTATAATCCGTACCCACGTTTCCATGTAGAAGACGCCTTGATGTCGTACCACTGCGGACGAGTCTCTGATCACAAAAATCTGAGCTCGCTTTTTGGCTAGAGTCGAGTGAAAAGGCAGTCGCTAATGGTCATCATTTAAGTCCTCTATCTGTAGAACAACTTAGATAATGGCTCTGTTTACCCAGCTGCACCGCAATCACTGAATCTGTTCAAGGTCAGCCTAGGCTGGATTCTGCAATGAGTATTCCCGCCGCTAATTCCATAAAATTAAGGTTAGAAGTTATCACTGAAGTTATTGGGCCAAAATACTGCTCCTCTAGGTCAGTCGATTCTGCTGAATTGGAAGTACCGAAGAGAAGGCCAACTATAATTTTCTGGCCCAGTATAATCCGTGTGGACAGGGAAGTGATTCTTGGGCTTTTGACATTGTGTCTCAGTTATACGTTGAAAGCTAGAGTGGATTGAACAGAGCACGAATGAATTCGGCATAATTATCATCTCACGTTGCATTGTCTTCGTCGTTCTTGAGTTATACTACTCTGTAGGACTGTCGTTAGAGGTCCTATTTGCCTTTGACTTATGACAATAAACTACTTTTTACATTTCAGTAGTCCGATTTTCCCTTTTTTCATTAAATTCCGCCAATATAAGGTCGAGGTTCCCTCAGTTGGCATCAGTTGCCTGGGCAACAGGAGCTTATGTTGATGTAGTTGATTACACTTAGCCCATTAAAACAATTGTGACAAGGCTTGAATTTAATAGTTTTTAATCACTTTCAACACAATTAAATATTCATTTACACTCGTTGACCAAAAATTACATGCTTAACCACCAATTCCGTAAGACATTTGGGCGAGGGGAATATATATTTCGGCGTCCCTATAAGCCAGTTTTGCCTACTACTCAACCGGGAACGGATACTGGAACGTGTAAATGCCCTTAGACCCTGGTTCCCATGCTCTGAGGATGCACAGTCGTTAAAAACGCAAGCTGCATGCTTGCTGCCTTTTGGAAGTTCGGTTCATCGAGTAACGCTCGCGAAGAATCCGGACCCCAGGGGCTTAACTTCCACTTTAATATCGAAAACGCACGCGACTCCTCTGGCAGACGGGTGTATCGACCACCACCTTCGCAACAAGCGAATCATACACTATTCACACGGAAACCAGGTGGCAACCGGATAGTTTATGTACGACCCAAGGAGCACTTTAGCAAAGTCTCCATTGTCTCCACACAGTCAGCAAAATTTGCTTCGGAACAGTACAGTAATGAAGCTCTTCACTTTCAATTACACTATTTTCGTACGTCTGCCCAGGTGTCGCTGTATGTTTATTTTAGGAAACCCAACGGATCTAAGTATATCACTTTCTTCATTAATAGCTCTATGCGTTCTTCAATGTTTTAGAAAGTTGCCGGCATCCAAAGTTTTTCCATAGGCTTGTTATTTTTTGTACTACACAAATATTTGTACGACTAGGCCAGTTTTGCGTTTGAACATAAATCTAAAAGCCTACCGGATATCTTTCATTATGTGATTTACAAAATTCTTCATTGTTGGCCGTCAAAATGGCACTGATAACTGGCACTCAAGATTTCTTTGGAATGGCACCATTTCTTGAACAGTGGCCCGGATGAAGGACGCTGGCATAAGTATTTATGCCCTACAGGAAAAAATTGCCTTTGACAACTCAGGCCAGGTCAGATTTATTAAGAAAAATGTAGGC